CGAGCACAAGCTCGGCTCGTTTTATAACAAGCCACGAGCCACGAGCTCGAGCTCGACGGTAACGAGCCGAGCCGACCGCTAACTCCAACACCATTATCATATTAAGAATGAGAAAGAAATGAACTTCTATTATTTATAAGGGCTCTGCTTCAAGTACATCAAGGGTACATTATGGACACCAGGCACCCCCCCTATTGGATGAAGTGCCGGTAACATAAGAGTGTCCATAATGGACACCCAGCACCCCCCTATTGGATGAAGTTGGTGACATAAGGGTGTCCATAATGAACACCCAGCACCCCCCTTATTGGATGAAGTTGGTGACATAAGGGTGTCCATTATGAACACCCTTATGTCCCCTAATGTACAAGTATCATTTTCCTATTTATAATTCAACAGTAGGATTCATACAACATATAATTAACAGCTTGAACTCATAATCACATTTTTTTCATCCCATTCAAATTTCATTTTATCCGAACACACGGTTTACTGACACGAGTTTCATTTCATTAACCGAAATGTATGGATTTCCAGAGAGTTGTGATGCCAAAAGGATAAAACTCGTGTTCGTTCTCTTTCACGATACTACGCATATTAAATGCCATGGGTAAATTTCCCAGCACCATGAAGTATAGAATACCTTTTAACTTGCAAAAGCATACAAAACTCAATTCCATAAATTTTGTTTTATTAATCCTACTCAAGACTTGAAATCTCAAAATTCCACATAGCTAAGTGGCTGCTAACAAGCTACAGCCTACAAGCACGATTAATTTGCACTGATAACAAAATATAAAAAGATCAGTTTTGAATAAAAAGAGTGCATAATCTAGAGACTTTATACCAGTGAGGTCATGCACTGTTATTTCAGATAAGAAAACAGCTTAGTCGCGACCTGTGTTTGAGAAGCATATCGGCAGCAGATCAGTACAACAAAATTTCAATCATTGCCCTAAAGAAAGCAGAAGGAAAAAAATATGTAGGCAGAGGAAATGAGGCTTACACATTTGTCAACACAATGCCAATAATCAAAGTACTGTCCAGTACAGTGTTTGTGCCCGGTTTCATCACCTTGAATCCTTTTAGCACACGCCTATCAGAATCTTCAATTAGATTTGCAATTTGACAGAAGTGTTATAGATAATGATAAAAGAGCATAGGTATGAGCCATGCTCGTTCTTTGTGTGATTGTATGTCCAAGAACTGCACAAACTGTGCATGGGTGCCATCCAGCGACTACTGGAGGGTAATGTTAAAAAGTTGCAGATAAAACAAGCCATTATAAAAAATTGAAATTTGTCTACTCATAAGGCTTACATACATTCATTCAACAGCCAATTATCAGGAAATTTCATACCAAATTGCTCAATGACTTTGGGGTGATGAGAGACAAAACGTTTACCCAGTGGCAAACAGGTTGATGCCTCAAGAGCAAATGTTTTGAGAAGGACCAAGAGTAATGTGAAAACGAAAAAGAAAAAGAAGAGGAAAGGGAAAAATGAAAAATAAAGTAATGTGTATTAAATACTACAGTTGGCAACGTTACATATTAAGTGATCACATGGCAGCAAGCAGAAAGCCATGCAAGTAACTAAAAAATTAACGAAGCAAACAAAATATCAGAGAAGAGAAACAAGGGCTCATTTTTGTTCCTTCAGAAATCACCTGATACTCCCTAAGTGGCCGTGTACATGGTGCCTTGCACCGCTCTTCAAGTTCCTTCTTTGGATCTACGGGCTCGTCATCCGCCCTACATGGACAATACAAATTTGAAGCACAGGTCAACAAAGGGAGCCATGGAGGGTGCTCCTTAAGTTAAAGCATGTTCGGGAAGTGTTTACAGACAGTTAAAATTATATATAAGGACAAATCAGTGATAAATAAGCAAGTGATACTTGTGGATCCCTCAAATCAAAATGTGTGGATAAAATGTGGCTTAACTGTTTATAATCAGTTATATAAACATGAACCAAACATAGGCTTAATCATGAACTGTAAAGTACTACAACTAGATATTCTGTGGGTATCTAACTCGGACCTCTCTCAAAGTCTCCAAATTTTCGGTCAAATAACATAGGACTTGTACTTCGTAATCTTATACACATATTTGACAGTACATTCATTCTGAAGTTAGGACAAACCTCTTTATAGAAGCTTTCAAAAGCACATGAAGTTGCACATTAAGGGGAGATCACTAGAAGCCTCAAAGCTTATGCTTTGAGTGCCTTTGATGGGGCATAAGCCTTGAATCACTGAGGTGAATGCCCCCGGCATAAGCCTCTGGCAGGCAACGGCGCTCGCTCCTTAGTCTTGCCCTTGCTATTTTTCGTTAATCTTAGTCTCTCTTCATTTCTCTCTTGGGTATTTTTCTCTCTTTTTTTTTCCCCTCTGATTTTCTTTTCTTTTAAAATCAAAGCAACAAAATTCGTGAAAATAACTGATCACTTGTTTCCAATTGTCTAGTTTTGGTTGTAGTGGTTTTTTTATGTGTTTACTACTTGTATTTACATTCTGCTATTTTGTTTATCCATTTTAAGCTTCTAGTTGCAAACTAAACTTTGATTTTGCTGAAATGGGTTGCGAGACCTTTTGTTTTCTCTTAAAAACTTCACGGGATGGTTCTGCGAGATACTTTGTGGAACAACTGAAGAATTTGACTATTTTGACGACTACTTATTGCACCTAAAAATCAAAACCAGTGTCACATGGACGGAAATTAACCAATAGTCCTTAACTGACCAAGAAAACCTTTAGGGCCAGGTTGGGAGTTTCAGCGCACCAGTTACAGCGTTTTTAAACTAGAGCGTTTATGAGCTAATCGATTTTGAATTATTTTAGTAGCGAACCTATGCTTGGAGTTTATTAGGAGATTTTTTCTTCGTATTTTAATTTCGAGTTTTGAATTCATTTTGGGTTTATATTTTGAATATTCATTTTAAGATTGTTGAAAACACATTCTTTTTATCATTTTGAAAAATTATTTTCAAAAATTTTAGAAAAAAAAGTTTTGACTTGGTTTTAACTGCAAAAACGGCTTTTTTGGCATTTTCTCATTTTTTTTAAAATTTTAAACTCGTTTTTGAAAATTCATTTTTTAAAATACGTAAGTAATCGTGTTTTTGAGTTTTCCAATGAGTGTTTTGGAAAACTGAAAATGGCTGCCATTAGATGACTTATTTAATTTCACCTATCATTTAATATCACATTAACGCCACATAAACTGTGTTTTCATCCCCAGTGGGGATGAATAGCATTGCTCTTTTCACCCGAATTATGTTATTCATCCCCAGTGGGAATGAAAACACAGTCTAGGTGGCTGTAAATGATAGGTGAAATGAAATACGAAATTAAATGACTTATTTAATTTCATATATCATTTAATGCTACATTAGCGCCATATAGACTTTGTTTTCGTCCCGAGATGAATAGCATTGCTCTTTTCACCCTGTCCAACCTATGCATGGTTTTCTGAAAATGAAACCTATCGACTTCTTCAACAGAGGGAAAAATGCTTGTGGACGGAGGACCATATTATCGATTTGTAATCAGGGCAAACAAATGAAAGCAACAATACCAAGTAATGTTTAGGGCAATAATAAAGAACCTAAAGGAGACGTAACTGATTGAAAGAAAAAGAAATAATATTACTCACATGGTTGAATATTGCAAAAGATGCAGCAAAATCACCTGTTCAAAACAATTTTTCGATAGATCTTCCAATAATCAGTCCTAGGAGCATAAAACTAAAATCTTGGAATTTGAAGAGGATGAATGAGAAAATGAGAGCACTTTACCGGCTAAACGGAGGACCCAATCTAAGCCCCGACAGGGTATGAATTCCAAGGTTCCGGGGAATCGGCGTTGATTAATGTGCACAAGGTGCGTTTTTTATTATGAAACCGAATGTACTAGAAACATATAGATTGGGTCCGTTAATGGGCCGGGTCACACACCCCTCTAGCGTCAATTGGGGTGGGACGTGATTCAAAGCTAATTCGGAAATGGGAAAAATTCATAATTAGATTTTTATTTTCTATTTTTAGGGAAATAAAGTTATTTATTCATCAAATCGTCAATCGGTACATTTGAAAGAAAGAAAGGCGAAAAATAAGACCATTCAACAATAACATGTAATGAACTAGCGGTCTTAGCTAGTGTGTGAGCTACTTGATTAGCCGATCGCCTAACCCAGCTGAACTTGAGATTCGGTAATTCTCTAGCAAGGAGGTGGCACTCTTCAATAAGAATACCAAAATAAGAATTGTCAGCATCATCACTCTGTAGAGCATTATAAACCAGGAGAGCATCCATCTCAATGGTTTGGACATCAGGAAATTTAGATTTAATCCAAGAAAGAGCATCACGAACCCCCAAAGTTTCGGCTAGAAGTGGATCAACAATACCTTGTACAGTAACAACTCTGGCAGCAACAAAGGAACCCAAGTCATTTCGAATCACCAGGCCTAACCCGGCCTTCCCTTGGTCTTCAAAGATGGCTGCATCAATATTTAATTTAAGGGAACCCGTAGTAGGTGGTTTCCACTTAACAAGCTCCGGTCTGTTGGAGTTGATCGAGGGTGTTGAAAGTGGTTGGTTAGCAACTTGCCATTGTTGGAGGAAATTTTTTGCAATAGTCACCACCTTAAGTACTGTAAACGACTTACCATTCCAAACAGTTTCATTTCGGTTCATCCATATAGCCCAACAAAGCATAGAGATCATCTCTTGATCTTGCTGATGATTCTTTAAGGTACTTGTGAGCCAGTCTTGGAAATTAGCAACCAAGCGGGGTGAACTGGCTATTCCTACTATCTCCCAAACCTTTTGGGCTAATTCACAAGAGACAAAAACATGGAGAACAGATTCTTCGTGCGTTAAGCAAACCGGGCAAGGGCTATCAACGTCGACTCTTTTAGCCCTCAATTGATCAGTTGTTGGAAGAACATTTANTCTAATTCACAAGAGACAAAACCAGGGACAACAGAATCTTCGTTCGTTAAGTAAACCGGGCAAGTGCTATCAACGTCGACTCTTTTAGCCCTCAAGTGATCAGTTGTTGGAAGAACATTTAGCGATGCCCTCCAAATTAAATTTCGAACCTTCGCTGGAATTTTATATCTCCAAATTTTGTTCCAAAAACTCTCAATAGTAGTATGAGAGTGTGTGAAAGAATCTGCCATCAATAGCTTATACCCACTTCTGAATGAGTAAGCACCCTTCTTGTCATGAATCCAGAACATTCGATCTTCCCTCCCATGTGCTGTTAGGGGAATTTTCATGATCTGCCCACGGTCTTCCTCATTAAAAAGATCAGCGAGAAGATTGTAGTCCCAACTATCTTCTCTTCCTGGGCTTGGTTCTGAAGTAACAAAACTTTGGCGGGGATTAGGAAGCCAACGGTCATGCCAGATTCTAATCGAGGAGCCATTACCCACTAGAAGTCTACACCCATCTTTCAGGACAGATTTAGCAGCAAGTATACTGCGCCAGATATAACTTGGCCTATAGCCAATATTAGTTTCCAATAATGTTGAAGAAGGAAAATAGCGCGCCTTATAGATCCGAGCAACCAAAGATGTAGGTTGTGTTAGTAGCTTCCACCCGAGCTTACCAAGGAGAGCTAGGTTAGTTTCATGCAACTTCTTGATTGCCACCAAGATTTATTCATGATTCTTTCGATTTCTTCACAAAGCTGAATAGGTAACAAAAACACACTCATAACGAAATTAGGA